TTAGGAAATGACATATGTGGAACCATTAAAAATATGATACAACAAAGTGTTTCATGACCAGAGAACAATTGTTGACAATGTAAAAAGTAGGGACAAGCTCTACCTGGTGTGGCTCAGTGGATAAAGCAATGGCATGCAGACTGAAGGGTCCCAGTTCAATTCTGAACAAGGGCACATACCTAGGTATAAGCTTGATCCTCACCCGGGCCTGACCAATCAATGGGACATCGATGTTTCTCTCTCTCTGTCTCTCCTCCTCCATTCCACTGAAAATATCCTCAGGTGAGGATTAACAAATGAACCAATTAAAAAAAAAAAAAGTAAGGACAAAAGCAGATTACTAAACTGTATGTAAAATATTATTTGCATTTGTGGTTTGTATGTGTGTACAGACACACAGAAGAAACATAACGATGGACCAAAGTTAGCAGTTCTATCTCCATCCTCACCTGAGGATATATTTTTATTGATTTTAGAGAGAGAGGAAGGAAAGGGGAGAAAGAGAGAGAGGGGAACATTCATGTGCAAGAGAAACATCAACTGGTTGCCTCCTCTAGGAGCCCCAACTGGGGATCAAACCTGCAACCTAGGTATGTGCCCTCACAGGGGGTTGAGCCTTAATCTTTTAGTGAGTGGAACAATGCTCCAATCAGCTGAGGCACCTGGCCAGGGCTATCCTTGATTTTTTTTAAAGATATCTTTTTTTTTTTTTAGATATATTTTTTTGATTTTACACAGAGAGGAATTGAGAGGGATAGAGAGTTAGAAACGTCGATGAGAGAGAAACATCGACCAACTGCCTCCTGCACACCCCCAACTGGGGATATGCCCGCATCCAAGGTACGTGCCCCTGACCGGAATCGAACCCCGGACCCTTCAGCCCGCAGACTGATGCTCTATCCACTGAGCCAAACCGGTTTCAGCTAAAGATGTCTTTTTATATGACTACCCCCTTTTTGATTAAACCAAGGTTGTTTCTGTTACTTGCAAACTATGAACTAATATGGAGACATGTTTGCATCTCAAGCTAGAGCCATGACATTTAAAATTTCCTACACTTATCAGAAACATTTTATAACTTGTATCTGAAATTGCTTTTAGCTTTGACCGTTCCCTCTGTTTCTTTGTTTTCTGTTTCTCCTTCCCTCCCCCGCTCTTTGCTCATAGCTAGGACATTTTCCAATTCTCCACAACATACCAGTCTTTGTGGACTATAAATAGGAAGACAAACAAGGCTGGGCAGTTAGAGAAATTATCATTCAGCGTTGGTGATTGTAATAAAATTAAATGGGAATGTCTGACAAGCTTTTGGAAGGCTGCAAAATTTTCAGGTTGAGCTGGACTTTTTATCTTCTTTAACTGGCTGGGATGGGGGCCCCTAAGTAATGACAGGGCTCCTCTTGGTCATCTGCTGAGCTGGCAGAGGGAGCATACAGGGCCAGGCTGGGATCTGCTCTGGGAAAAGACCCACGAGGAATACTTTACGCTGTTCTGTAAACACAGAGGAACATTGTCATCTCCATTTTGGACGTGAGAGGCCTCCCCAGGGTCACCTGGGTTGTTGCTAGGCTCTGTCTTTCCCCGTGGCCTCCCTGGGCCCAAGGGAATGGCTGGTATGCAGAGGCTACCTGCTTTTGTGTGTGTGGTGGGGGAGGGGCTTCTGTAACTAAATGCTTTAAGGACAGGCAGGGTACCGAGGGACAAGGGACAGATACTTCCCTCCTTCTCTCCTGGAGTGGCTCACATTTGCAGCATTTTGAAGTCTTTGCTGCTTCAGTCTCTTCTGTGAGAGCCCGACCACAACCGTCCCCAAATCCCCCCCACCTCCTCCCTACTCTTGCGGACCTCACCTTCTTCAACAGGCTTTTGTTTGTTTGTTTGTTTGTTTGTTTTATAGCCAATATGTATGTATTAATTTTAAAAAATAGTTAAATACATTTATAGTATCTGAGCTTGACTCTCAGACATATGAAATGAAACACCGAAGTGTCTTTATAGTCAGTGATAAAGCTGATATCATATATAGCTTTCATATAAGTATACTTAATATTTTCCAAGCCTCTGGAGCCAGTGTTTGGGCTCTGAGAGTCTGCAGCAAACTGAATCTTTGCCGGCCTCTAGTGAGAGAGTTTGAAGTTGCGAGTGGATGAACATCGTGCTGCTACTGAGCCAACCAGTGGCCTCTGCAAAGCTGCGTGTCCCTGCACATCTTGCTTCTCCCCGAGCATCTTGCTTCATCCACAGCTTTGCATTCAGCAATGCTCCCAAGACTCCCAAAGCAAGAATTACAAAGAAAACTTTATTAGCAATGTTTCTGGGGTGGGGGAGGTAGAGGTTAAAACTTTTTTTAAAAAATATATATTTTATTGGAAACCCCGCCCCATCTGTAACTGCGAAATGCGACAACGAAATAGATCACAAACGAAAGAATGGAGGACAAAAAGCGGCTGGATATAGAGTTCAAATCTACGCTTATAAGGTTTTTCAAGAATTTCCTAGAAAAGGTCGATAAGACCTATAAGGATATGAAAAGGGATCAACTAGAATTAATAAGGAATCAACGAGAAATGATAAGGAATCAACAAGAAATGAAGAATACATTGTCTGAAATAAAAAATATTTTACAGAGTCCTAAAAACAGAAGGGAAGATCGCAAGAATCAAGTCAAAGATTTGGAACATAAAGAGCCAGAAGACACTCCTCCACAGAAGCTAGAAGGCAAGAAAATCCAGAAAATTGAAGACAATGTAAGAAACCTCTGGGCAACTTCAAGCGAACCAACATCAGAATTATGGGGGTCCCAGAAGATGAGAGAGAGCAAGATATCGAAAACATACTGAAAGAAATAGTGACAGAAAATTTCCCCCACCTAGGGAAAGAATTAGACTTACAAGTTCAGGAAGCACACAGAACTCCAAACAAAAGGAATCCAAAGAGGACCACACCAAGACAAATCATAATTAAAATTCCAAGAGCAAAAGACAAAGAGAGAATATTAAAAGAAGCAAGAGCAAAGAAGGTAGTTACCTATAAAGGATCACCTATACGATTGTCAGCTGACTTCTCAACAGAAACCATGCAGGCCAGACGGGAATGGCAAGAAATATTCAAGGTGATGAATAGTAAGAACCTACAGCCAAAGATAATCTATCCAGCAAAGCTATCACTCAGAATCGAAGGTCAGATAAAGAGCTTCACTAATAAAAAAAAGCTAAAGGAGTTCATCAACACCAAACCAGACTTATATGAATTGCTGAAGGGAGTTCTTTCAGAAGAGAAAGTAAACAAAGATAATAATTATGAACAACAAATACGTAACTATCAACAAGTGAATCTAAAAAACAAGGAAATTAAAAAAAAATCTGATGAACAATAGTAACTGTTGAATATAATAGAATCAGAGGTATGGAAAGGGAGTGAACTGACGATTCTTGGGGAAAAGGGGAGCGGGGGGGGGCGTGGGAAGAGACTGAACATAAACTGTGCACCTATGGATGAGGACAATGGGGAGTGGGGAAAGGGCAGAGGGTGGAGTGGGAACCTGGTGGAGGAGAGCAATGGTGGGGGGGGGGGGAAAGGGAACATTTGTAATAATATGAACAATAAAAACTTATTTAAAAAAATAATAAAAAATAAAAGCTTCAAAAAATACATATATATATTTTATTGATTTTTTACAGAGAGGAAGAAAGAGAGAGAGTTAGAAACATTTATGAGAGAGAATCATCAATCAGCTGCCTCCTGCACACCCCCTATGGGGGATGTGCCCACAACCAAGGTACATGCCCTTGACCAGAATCGAACCTGGGACCTTTCAGTCCGCAGGCTGACGCTCTATCCACTGAGCCAAACTGGTTTCAGAAAAAAATTTTTTTTTAAAAAATATGTTTTTATTGTTTTTAGAGAGAGCGAGAGAGGGGAAAAAAACAACAGCAACATTGAGATTGATTGGCTGCTTCCTGACACCTCCAACTGGTGATCAAGCCTGCAACCCAGGCATGTGCCCTGAATCTATGACCCATCCCTGCATGGGGGGATGTTCAACCAACTGAGCCACACTGGCCAGGCTGAGGAGGTTGAAACTTTGACTTGATGAAAGAAACTTTTCTCCAGGAATTAAGAGTCTTGGCAGTAAAAGACATCCCAGGTGGGATTTGGAGAGCCTGTTGTAGGTGTTTTATCCCTCAGATACTTTAGGTAATGTCCTTTGCTCTTGGGAAGCCATTCTCTAGAGAAGAAGGTCATGAAAAAGCACCCCAAATTTCCCTATATTTTAGGTAGCACATGAAAACCTGGAGAAGCCTCTTTGATGTGGAATGCATAACTCATATTCTTTCCAAATGGAAAAATAAATGGTAGAAGTTGGGTAGCATTACTGATAAATAAATTCAGAAAAATTGTTTAAATAAGAGAAATTAAAAGCCATAAAATTGACTTGGGGAAGAAAGAAAGTTGGGGGACCAACCTTTTCAACTTAGCCTATTTATTTATTTTTAAATGCATTCTACGGAGGCCTTGGCACAGGCTGATTTTAAAGATTAACTCATTTAGGTCACATTTTGAATCTGGAAGAAGAAGATGGATTATCCAATAAATGATGTGGGGATTATTAACTAACCATTTGAAAGAAAATAAGGTTAATGATCAACGTTGCATGATAGATCAGAATACATTTCAGAGATTAAATATTTACATGTTTTGTGTTTTTTTTTAAATGGTGGGGAGTCATAAAAGCAATAGACAAAAACGTGGGTGATTGTGTCTATAACCTTGGTGGCGAGGAAGGTTTTTCTAAGCATAACACTGGTGAGAAAAAAGAAAAAGTTTGATAGATTTTATGTAAAATTTTTGAAAGTCAAAAATGACCATGAACAAAAGTGGAGAGACAGCACTAAAGCATTTGAAGCATAGCTATAAGGATTTTTTAGAAAATACTGGGAAAGGTAAGCAATCTAGGAGATGGTTGTCAATTTCTCACCCATGTTGACCTTTCCCCACAGTTCTTGCTCATCTTCCACAAGGCCGCCGCAGGGGAGCTGCAGGAGGAGAGTGGGCTGATGGCCCTGGCAAAGCTGTCCGAGATCGATGTTGCCCTGGAGGGTGTCAAGGGTGCCAAGAACTTCTTTGAAGCCAAGGTAGGTAGCTTCTTCCCGAGCAGGACAATCGCCCCCTCCCTCTACCCTGCCCAGCAGGAGATGCCAGTTAGTGACTCTCTCAACTCCCTCGGGACAAGCTTAGATAGATTGTGTGTGATTGCAGGAGAACGAATGTCTGCCTGCAATCTACAAATTAAAAACAAAACAGGAAAACAATCGAATGGCACATGCAACAGTCTCTGGTTTCAGATTGGATTACTCGGACAGCTACCTCCATATTTGCCTCTTACACACTTGTGTGTAAACAAGTGAACAATGGGGCCATTTGCTCCATTGACAGTGTCTGGGAGTGGGGAAGGAATCTGCAGTGCATGGTCTTGAATCTCCTCTGGGTGCTTCCATTCATTCACATGTCCATCCAGCCATTGAGCATTTATGGAGAACCCACCCCTTGCTGGGCGCTGTCATTTTCACCTCTGCAGAGCACACCTGCAGAGAGAGAGAGAGAGTGGTCAGGAGAGCCCTCCAAGTCCCTCTACCACAGCAGTGGAGTGCAGTTGGTAAGGCTCTCTGGTTTCAGATTCTGCCTCCTCCTGTTACCTGTCTGTGCCTCAGTTTCCTCATCTGTGCAATGGGGGGATGATGGGATTACTGTGAGGATTACCAGAGTTCACGTATACATAAAGTATTAAGCAAGTACCTGGCTCACTGTGAATAGTCCATATGTGATAGGAGCTGTTGGGACTCCCCACCACTCCAGGCAGGAGTCTGCCTCTTGTGTGGTTTTGGCTTATTTTACTAGTCTGCCCAGAGACAAATTGTCCTTGGCAACACATTTCAACCTGCTTGGGCCCCTAGGATGCTGCTTGGAGAAACAGTCCATCATTTTTGTGCCAACATGTAAACTGAATCATGGTGGACTTGGTGCCTGAATTTCTACGGCCATCATCTGATAGTCAGGGGCAGGCTGACCAGCATTGTGTGTCCAACCCTGAAAGTGGTTTGGTCCTTCTTTCATGATGTAGCATTGATTCAACCCAGTCCCCCTGGAAATGCCTGGCCCCACATTCAGCTCAGGAGATACCAGGGTGTAGTAGACAACACTTTTGCCCTTCCCAGAACACACACCCCATCTAGTGAGGAAAGCAAACTTTCAGCCTAGATAGAGAGGAGGCAAGGAATAATTCTGGTGGGATGGGTCCTCCCCGTTCATTGACTGAGTCAACGTGTACAGATCTCTTGTGATGCCTTGGGCTGGACGCTCTTTCCACTCTACGGCTGCAGCACAGTGTGCTGAGTGCTTTTGACCAAGACTGTATGAAGTCTCTGGGAATGTCTTATCTGGGCATTCAGACCTTTTCTGACCTAGATCTGGTCCCCACTCTAGCCTCGTCCACCTCATGCATATTTCAAATGCTGCCCTGCTTTTCACAACTGGGCCTCAATACTGCTGTGTCCTCTGCCTGGAAGGCCCCATCCAGATGCATCTTCCCAGAAAACTCTACTCATTCTTTAAGACCCATGTTAAAGAGTTGCCACCTCTTGGCTGTTTTCCTCGACTATCCCAGTTAAGAAAGTCTGTCCTCTTCTGCGTGCCTGTGTTATGACTGGAAGTGCCATCATAATTTATTTGTTCAAGATATTATAATTTATTTTGGACACTTTGGGCAAGTACATAAATCGACCCAACTTTCTCATGTATATATATATATATATATATATATATATATATATATATATATATATATAATTGATTTTGTACAGAGAGGAAGGGAGAGAGATAGTTAGAAACATCAATGAGAGAGAGTCACCAATCAGCTGCCTCTTGCACACCCCCTACTGGGGATATGTCCGCAACCAAGGTACATGCCCTTGATCGGAATTGAACCCGGGACCCTTCAGTCCCCAAGCCAACGCTCTATTCATTGAGCCAAACCAGTTTTGGCTCGACCCAACTTTCTGAGAGTGGATTGGGACAAGTCGTTAACTTTTGATATCATCCTTCACCTCTAGAATTCTGCCTATAGGAGTTTGTCCTCAGAGACACAAATGCACCTTCAACACCAGCATTGTGTCCAAACTTGTCTGTATATAAATATCTAATAAAAGAGTAATATGCAAATTAACCATCACTCCAACACACAAGATGGCCGCCCCCATGTGGACACAAGATGGCCACCATAAGATGGCCAGCAGGAGAGGGCAGTTAGGGGTGACCAGGTTGGCAGGGGTGGGCAGTTGGGGGGACCTGGCCTGCAGGGGAGAGTAGTTAGGGGTGACCAGGCCAGCAGGGGAGGGCAGTTGGGAAGGACCAGGCCAGCAGGGGAGGGCAGTTGTAGGCGATCAGGCCAGCAAAGAAGGGCAGTTGGGGGGACCAGACCAGCAGGGGAGGGCAATTAGGGGTTACCAGGCCAGAAGGGGAGGCAGTTAGGAGTAACCATGCTGTCAGGGAAGGGAAGGGGGGAGAGGAGGGAACCAGGCCTGCAGGGGAGGGTAGTTGGGGGCAACCAGGCTGGCAAGGGAGGGCAGTTAGGGGTTACTGGGCCAGGAAGGGAGGGCAGTTGGGGACGATCAAGCCTGCAGGGGAGGACAGTTCGGGGTGACCAGGCTTTCAGGGGAGGGCAGTTAGGGGCAATCAGGCAGGCAGGCAGGTGAACGGGTGGGAGCCAGTAGTTCTGGATTGTGAGAGAGATGTCCCAGATTGGAAAGGGTGCAGGCTGGGCTGAGGGACACCCCCCATGCACAGATTTTGTGTACCAGGCCTCTAGTATAAATATAAATACAGATAGGGTTTGTTTGTTTTTCTACAGCACTGGTAGTAATAGAGAAAAATTGGAAATGACTGAGACTTCCATTATAGGGGTATGACACCCACACATTTGCACACCTTAGAGCCACGGGTATGTAAGGACAGATACCAAAAATGAATTAAGCAAAAACTGTTTGAAACCCCATTTTGTAAATATTAAATACACCCTGGATAATTACATACCAAAGCATTAGTAATATCTGTATCTGAGGGACTTTTTAAATATTTTTGTAATGTTTTGTAATTATGGGTGCATTATTTTTATAACCAGGAGAAAAGATGAAAAGAATAACAATAAAATAAAAAAATTTGAATGTGTTATGTGTATGCATCTGCCTCCCCACCCAGACTCAAAGGAAGCGTAGGTATATTATCTTTGTAATTACAGTGCTGGGCATATAATGGCCCTCAATAAACATTTGCTTGAGTGACAAATGCAGGGAATCACCCCTTGAATTTAGGAGAGGGCCATAAAGGAGCTGACGTTTGTGACAGATGTTCAAAGATGAACGGAGACTCACCTTGTAATCAAGGAAGGGAAGGCGTTCCTGCCGTGGGAATGGCAGGAACAAAGGCTCCGAGGCATGGAGGGTGAGGAGTGTCTGGAGGCTGGGCCTGGTCCACACTGGACACACTTACACAGGGAGTCTGGGCTCCCCTAGAGGGCAGGCCTTCTTCAGCCTCCTGAGCACCAGAACCAGCAGCAGGCCAGATCTATCTGGTTCTCCAGGGTGGGGCCCAGGAAACATGGACTTGAATGAGCTCTGCAGGTGGTTCAGGGTAGGCCAGGCTTGGAAAGCACAGCTGCACACTTGGGTGTGTGTGTGTGTGTGTGTGTGTGTGTGTGTGTGTGTGTGTGGTGGGGAGAGTCTTCAGAGGGGCTTGAGCAGGAGCCTGACATGATCAGTGATGGGCACTATGGGGATCGGTTTGCCTTGGGTGAGGCTGGACTTGGGAAGCTTCCATAGATTCTGGAGAATCATAGGTCCAATAAAGGCAGCGACAATGGGGAACTCTCAGTATTTACGACCACTTGATTGGAGGTGGGATGTGAAATGCTACAAGGCTTGTCGATTATATATATATATTTTTTTTCCCCATCAAGGCAGGACATTCCCCCAGCCAAGGGAATAATTTAAGGAGGAAAAGTTATAAGCTGCGTTTTAGAGATAAATCTAAGTTGACTTAAGGCAAAAGGAAGGCATGCCCTTTCATTTGAAGGGCACAATGTTGGTTGCAAATAGTTTCTATTCATGTCCTAAGAAATATCTGGGAAATTTGGAAAATATAATTTCCTAGTCCCTGTTACACCCACACATTTGCATGATAGGGCTTCTGATTCACAAAGAACAAAAACATAACACTTCCAAGTAATACTTTCAGAGGTATCTCTCTCCAGAAACAGACCTCTGTGAAGTGTAGACAGAATTCAGAAAAGGGATATAACTTTCCATTGAGTTGTGAGAATCTTCATTAGGCTCCAAAGGAGGTAATAGAAAGAAAATTAGAAAGGAACCTGGCCAGTGTGGCTCAGTGGTGGAGTGTTGGCCCATGTGCCAAAGGGTTGTGGGTTTGATTCCCTGTCAAGGGCATGTACCTTGGTTGCAGGTTCACTCCCTGCCCCTAGTTGGAGCATGTTGGGAGGCAACCAGTTAATGTGTCTCTCTCACATCGATGTTTCTCTCTCTCTCTCTCTCTCTCTCTCTCTCTCTCTCTCTCTCTCTTTTTCTCTCTCTCTCTCTCTCCCCCCTTTCTTGCCTTCCTCCCCTCTCTAAAAATCAATGGGAAAAATAGCCTTGGGTGAGGATTAATAATAATAAAAAAAGGACTGGGATAATGTTTAAAATATTGATATCATAGGTAGATCAAATTAAAAAAATATGGTCAGGACTTAACAATAAAAAAAGTGGTAGGAAAGGAGGATCCAAGATGGCTGCACAGGTAAACACCTAGCCGCAGCCACACACAACAATTTCAATAAAATAAAACTAAAATATAAAATGGACATTACCCAGAACTACAGGAAAGTCGAATGACTGGAAATTCTACAACGAGAAGGAAAGAGAAAAACAGAAGGAAAATCAGAGGAGCTGTAAAAGCCAAAGGTAAGTAGACATGCTGTACGCAAGGAAGGCACATGGATGTTCTTTTAATTCTTATCAGCTGAGACCGAGGGCACTGGCAGAATCCTCTTATCAGTACTGATTTCTTAATCCATGTGCTTGGAATGAGGAACAAATAGGACCTGGACTCACCCAGGTCTCGATATGCTAAATCTTGTACCAAAAAATAAGGAGCTTACCCAGATTTTGATGAATAGGATCTGGGCACACCCAAAACTCCTGTTGACCTTAAACTCCCCTTTGGAAGTCAATAAAAAACAAACAAACAAACAAAAAAAACACACACACACAAAAAAACAAGGGAATTAAAAAACCTGATGAACAATATTAACTGTTGAATATAATAGAATCAGAGGTATGGAAGGGGAGTGGACTGATGATTCTCAAGAAAAAGAGGAGTGGGGGGTGCGGGAAGAGAATGAACATAAACTGTGCACCTATGGATGAGGACAAGTGGGGGTGGGGAAAGGGCAGAGGGTGGGGTAGGAACCTGGTGGAGGGGAAAAAAATGAGGAACTTTTGTAATAATATGTCTTGTGTTAAGGAGAGGTGCTGCTGTGCCATCCAGCATTCCAAGGTTTGGTAATTTCACAGCAGGCTTTGCTTACTGCTGACGTATTGTCCACAAGACAAACATATGCTTGAGGTAAAAATTTACTGATTGAAATTGATTTTTTTCCCTTTTTTACTGATTGAAATTTCTTAACCTAATATTGCATATATTCCTGTAAAAGGAAATTTTGTTAAATGCCATGGCCATTATGAAAAGAATACCTTTATAGTCCTGCAGAAATTAAGTTCTAAAGCTCTTGGAGGAGATGATTGGATCAAAAAACTATGGTATATCTACACAATGGAATACTATGCTGCCATAAAAAAAGAAGGAATTCTCATCGTTTGCAGCAACCTGGATGGAATTGGAGAACATCATGCTGAGTGAAATAATCCAGTCAATGAAAGAGAAACACCACATGACCTCACTCATTTATGGATAATAAAGAACATTATAAACTGATGAACCAAAAGATAGATATAGAGACAGTAAAGCAACAAGCAGACTGTCAAATTACAGCGGGGAGGGTAGGGAGATCTGGGGGATATGAGATCAACCGAAGGACTTGTATACATGCATATAAGTACAACCAATGGGCACAAAATTCTGGGGAGGGAGGGGAGGGTATGTCTGAGAGTGGAAGGGGCAATGGTAAAATATGTACACAGATAATAATTTAATTTTTTAAAAAGTAAATAAATAAAGATCTTGGAGGGAAAAAATTGTGGTCAGTTAGATATCTCAGAGACATTGGTGAAGTTTAACACATTTTAAAATGAAACCATCTTTTAAAAAATATTTTATAGGTTTCAGAGGAAGGGAGAGGGAGAGAGAGATAGAAATATCAATGATGAGAGAGAAACCTTGATCGGCTGCCTACTGCACACCCCACACTGGGGATCGAGCCAGCAACCCGGGCATGTGCCCTGGCTGGGAATTAAATTACGAACTGCTGGTTCACAGGTCAATACTCAAGCACTGAGCCACGCCAACCCAAAAATAAAACAATATTTTTTTTTCAATATGATAAAAGAATATTTACTTTTTTTTAATAAGTATAAAAACATTCAATAAAAAGGTAATATTAAATAATGTAGTTTGGGTACAGGAATAAACAAAACAGTAGAACAGGATAGACAATAATAAAAACAGATCTCCTTCATGTGGGAATTTCGTATATGAAAAAGATCGTTTTTGCCCTACCTGGTTGGGCTCAGAGATTAGAGCATCAGCCCATGGATCCAGTATTTGATTTCTGGTCCAGGGCACATACCTCAGTTGCAGGTTTGTTCTCCAGCCCTGATTGGAGTGCCTGCGAGAGGCAACTAACCGATTTGTCTCTCTCACGTTTGTCTCTCTCTTCCTCCCTCCCTCCCTTCTACTCTCTCTAAAAATCAATGGGGAAAAAAAAATCCTGTGTGAAAATAAAAAGCTGACTGTGAAGATAAAACCATAAAAGTATTGGAAGGAAATACAGGAAAGTGGGTTTAGAAACTTCTTAAACGTGACATAAAATTCTAAAGTCAGAAAGGAAATGGCTGGAAAGCTCTGATTGCATCAAAATTCAAAAATATTTGTATGGCTTAAGCTACCTTGAAGTTAAAAGACAAATAAGCCGGGCCAATGATGCTCAGTGATTTGAGTGTCAATCCATGAACCAAGAGAGGTCACCAGTTCGATTCCCTGTCTGGGCACATGCCCAGGTTGCAGGCTCCATCCCTGGTGGGGTGTATGCAGAAGGCAGCCAATTGATGTTCCTCTCTCATCAATGTTTTGATCTCTCCCTCTCCACTCTCTCTAAAATCAATAAAAACATTTTTTAAAAAGGCAAAGAACTTGGAGAAAGTAACTGAGAAAATATTAATAAGGAATTAATACCTACATTATGGAAAGTAAAAAAAAAAAGAAAAGCTGAATAGAAAAATGAGCAAAGGATACAAATGGGTGCTTCACCAAAGAGGAAATAAAAGGTGCCAGTTTGCCTATCAGATTGGCAAGTAGGGAGAAGGTTAATTATAAGCCTTAATTTATAAGGTTAATTATTGGCAAGGCTGTGGGTGAAATGAGAACCTGTGTTCTCTGCTGGTGGGGTATAAATGGGAATGGTTGCTTTGGAGAGCAAGTTCGCCATCTTTATTAAATAATGTGCATGCCCACTGTGTTTGCAAAGTTTACCTAGTTTATGAGACACACACAGAGAGAAAATGTCAGTTCTAGAGTAGAGGATTTTAAGATGAGTTTACCTGATATTGTATCATTGGAGATAAATTTGATTTTTAAAAAAATGGCACTAAATCCCATTCACAAATACAAACAAAACAACAACAAAAAAATGTAATATATGGAAATAAGTTTAGAATGACTTATTTATGTAGAGAAAACAAAACATTTTAGTGGGTAACATAAAAAACCATACTGAATAAAAACAGAGGCTTTCAGGGGGAACCTATATCATAAAGAAATCCCTTTGCCACAGGAGAGTGATGCAGTCCCAATCAGAATCCCAGCAGGGAAGTTATTTTGTTGTGAAATAAAAAGCGGGGAGCAAACCAGCTGTTGTTGCTCAGTGGTGAGTGTAGACCTATGAACCAGGAGGTCACGGTCCAGTTCCTGGTTAGGGCACATGCCTGGGTTGTGGGCTGTCGCCACTGTGGGGCAGCAGGAGGCAACTGATCAGTGATTCTCTGTCATCATTGATGCTTCTGTCTCTTCCTCTCCCTTGCTCTCTGAAATCAATAAAAATATATTTAATAAAGAAGGAGTAGAAGTGGGTAATAGGTAGGACACTAAACAGTATCCTGAAAAAGAAGAGAAGTGGGAAAACCCATCCCCAACAGCAGAGTGACTGTCCCCGCTACTACCAGGCAAACCTGGGAAGACCACAGGGAAGGAGTCTCATGTCACGTGGCTCCAGAAAACCCAGTTCTGTTCGGTGGGTGCTCCATCGCCTCGTTTCTCTCCCCCTCTCTCACCCTGTTGGTCTATTTCTGCTGTTTCCCTGCAGGTCCACGCCTTGGCCTGTGCCAGTAAGTTTGAAGCTGAGCTGAAAGCTGAGCAAGAAGAGCGGAAGCAGGAGGAGGAGAAGAGGAGGATCCGCCAGGCCGCCTTCCGGGAGCTCAAGGCCACTTTTAGCACATAGTCGGGGGACCTTGACCTCTGTCTACAGCTGTGCCTCACAGATGCCCCTGGGAGAGCTGGCCAGGCAACCTGGCCCCCAACTTGATTCCTTGCCCCAACCAGTCTCCACACCCAGTCAAGCAAACTCCTTCACCTCAGGGCAACAGGGAGCGCTCTCACCCTCAGGTGAGAGAGACAAGCTGTTCCTTTTCTTTCTTTTCCTCCCATGTTGCCCTGCCCTTTTCTGTAGCCAGAATGTGCCTCGGTTTGGCCACCTGTGACTTTTCCTTGTTCCTTTTCCTCTTCCACATTAAAGAGTGGCAACAAATTGTACAGAAACTTCTTCCCTTGGTGGTCCTCAGAAGAGAGGATCCTTGGGGGCTGTGATGTTAATGTTGCCCATTTTCTTGGGTAATTCTCTGCCCCTCCTTCTCACTTCTCCCTCCCCCCCATCCCCTTTTGTTTCCCATCAGCTACCCTGTTCTCATTCTTAGCCTGAGCCTGCCAGTTGCCTTTGCATCCTCATCTTTTGAGGGTGGTGAAGTTTGAGGCAGGTCAAGCTGGACGGTTGTCTGTCCCCTCTCCAACAGGGGGTGTGGCATGCTGCCAAGATGACACAAAATAGAGAAAAGATAAGTTCCGTTCCTTTTCATCACTTTTCTCCTGTCCCCTAGCATTTCCCCCAGACCCACCTTCATTCATGCCTCCCCATTTCAGCCTTTTTTTCTACCCCTAAATACTCTACTACATACTTATAATAATAAAATAATAATTAGAAGTACTATTAACGAGTAGAAGAATTCCTGCTAACTCTGACTCTATGCAAATTATATTACAGTAGACCCCTAACATTCATAACTGACAAATCTAGAGTCTTTTAAAATCCCAAAGGTCATGTCCACCCTCATCATGTGAAAAGTTTCCAACATCCGCTCCAAGGCGGTGAAGCTGTTCTAAACCTCCCGCACACATTTTCATATCTCGAGGGTTCTTGGGATTGTGTACACATGCCAGGGGTTTATTGTTGTATTTTTAAAAAATAATTCCTAATGTCATATTTATTCCCTTTTGTAACTGCTGTCTTTACAATAAAGAAAACATCTGCAGTTCTACCTTACAGCTGTCTCTTTTTAAATAAACTGTGCAGTTAGACTTTGCCATAACATCATTGTGCTTCTAGACATCTTTGAGTTGGGGGAGAGAGGAAGTGTTTTCTGTAGGGGCCACTTCCAGCCCAAGCTGGAAGTGGCCCCTACAGAAATATAAAATATAAAATAAAAATATATTTTACTGATTTTTTACAGAGAGGAAAGGAGAGGGATAGAGAGCCAGAAACATCGATGAGAGAGAATCATAGACCAGTTGCCTCTTGCACACCCCCTACTGGGGATGTGCCCGAAACCCACGTACATGCCCTTGACCGGAATCGAACCTGGGACCCTTCAGTCTGCAGGCCGACGCTCTATCCACTCAGCCAAACCGGTCTGTTGGTCACTGACTCTCTGAAATCCAGTTAGAAATGGTAACTAAAGGGTTAGTCTTCACTCCAGGGAATCTGAGCACTGAGGTTGTCTGTTGGCTGCTCTTTCCCATCTCATCACTGAGGATTTTTTCAGCTGTGGGTAAAACCTCTCTTACTTCCTACACTCTTGAAACTCTGATGGGAGTTCACCTTCCCATGTATAATGCCAGGGTATTTTGGGGACCTGGTAAGGACTTCCGTCCTGAGAGAAGACCCGTAGCTCCCCAGTTAGAATCATTTCTGTTTCTGCACATGCCCAAGACCTATACAACCCTCAGGCATTTTTCTAGGTCAAGTTACCCTCCAACATCCCCACTTGGGTTGCGGTGAACATGAAAAAGGAATGAAGAGCCAAAACCGGTTTGGCTCAGTGGACAGAGCATCAGCCTGCGGAATGAAGAGTTCCAGATTTGATTCCGGTCAAGGGCATGTACCTTGGTTGCGGGCACATCCCCAGTAGGGGGTGTGCAGGAGGCAGCTGGTCGATGTTTCTCTCTCATCTATATTTCTACCTCTCTATCCTTTTCCCTTCTTCTCTGTAAAAAAATCAATAAAATATATTTAAAAAAAGAAAAGAAAAAGGAATGAAGAGACTTATTGTATGATATGCTTATTGGTTTTTATCCAACTGAGCCAAGAACCTTTGTCCACACAAAAACCTGCCCAAAAAAATGTTTATAAGAAGTTTTATCCATAATTGCCAAAAGTTGGAAGCAACAGAGATATTCTTCAGTCAGCGAATGGATAACAGTGTTATCACAATGAAATATTAATTCAGTGATGAAAAGAAATGTTTAATAAGCAAAAGAAATGAGCTATCAAGCCACAAAAAGATATGAAGAAACCTTAAATGCATATTGCTAACTGAAAGAAGCCAGGCCAGAAAGGTTGCATCTACGTGATTCCAACTGTATGACATTCTGGAAAAAGCAAAACTATGGAGACAGTAAAAAGATCAGTGATTGCAAGGTGAGGGGCAGGATGAATATGGCACTCAGAGGATTTTTAGGTAGTCAAACTATGTATGATACTATAATAGTAGATACATTCATTGTACGGCTGTCAAAACCCATAGAATGTACAACAAGAGTGAATCCTTATGTAAACTATGGACTTCAGTTGTTAATAATGCATCAAATATGGGCACATCAACTGTAACAAGTGTACGACACTAATGCAAGACGTTAATAATATGAAAAACTAGCCCTAACTGGTTTGACTCAGTGAATAGAGTGTTGGCCTGTGGACTCAAGGGTCCCAGGTTCAATTCCGGTTAAGGGCAGGTACCTTGGTTGCGGGCACAGCCCCAGTTGGGGGTGTGCAGGAGGCAGCTGATTGATGTTTCTCTCTCATGGATGTTTCTAACTCTCCCTCTCCCTCTGTAAAAAATAAAATAAAATAAAATAAAAATATAAAAATTATATACATAAACGAATCAAAAATAATATGTAAAACTGGAGGGGGAGAAGGAAGTGAGGTGTTTGGCAATTGGGTATTTCCTGCTAAGTCTTTCTGTAAACCTAAAACTGCTGTAAAAAAAATAAAGTCTAACAAAAAAAAAAAAAGAGAGAGAGAGAGAAGACAGGAATGGAGGCAACATTGTAATTACTTTCAAACATTCATTTGTTTCTCTTATAACTAGCCCATGTAAGAGTTAAAAAAAAAACTTGATTGCAATAACAGAAAATGTAACAGGGGGATTTAAAACAAAAAAGGACCAATATTGGGCCATGTACTAGTATCAAAGACCAGACAGGACTTCTTGGCCCCATCTTGGTCATGAAGTCCTGCAGATGTTCCTTTCATGCCTGTCTCCTGCAGATCCCATCCTCCATCTCCATGGCCATGGCCTTCATTGGTTCTTTCCTGGGTTGCTACAGTGGTTGCCCTGCCCTCATGTTGCCCTGATTGTCCACCCTACAGCTTAGAATAATTCATATAAGCTGCAAACTGTTTCTAACATCTCCTGATTGTACCTTCCTCTTCACATGCAGTTCTCCCTCTATGCACGTCTGTGTCCAAATTTCCCTTTTTAAATTTTTATTGATTTTTGTTTTCTTAGAGAAGGAGGAATGGGGAGAACGAGCGAGAGAGAAACATCAATCAGTTGCCTCCCATATGTGCCCTGATCAGGAATCAAACTCTCGACTTTTTGGTGCATGGAATGATGCTCCAACCAACTACTACTTCATACCCACAAGGGCTATATTTCCCTTTTTCATAAGGTCTCTAATCACTGAATTACAGCCCACCTGGATGGCCTCATTTTAGCTTAATTACCTCTTAAAGACCCTATATCCAAATAACATGACATTCTGAAGTACATTCTGAGGTTGGGATGCCAATATGTCTTTTGGAGGGATGCAATCCAATCCATAAAGAGGATGTTCAAATTGCTGTGTAACAAATTACCCCAAAATGTAGTGGCTTAACGCAACCATTTCATTATCCTCATAGATTTAGTGAATCAGGAATTCAGACATGGCACAATGGGGAAGTTTGTCCTTGTTTCATGGTGTCTTGGGCATGTACCTGGGTTGCAAGTTTGATCCTCAGCTCCAGTTGGGATGTGTGTGTGGGAGGCTACCAATTGATATGTCTCTCTCCCATCCATGTTTCTCTCTCTCCTCCCTCCATTCTTCCTTCTCTCCCTGCATCCCTCCCTCCCTCTCCTTCCCTTCTACTCTTTCTTTTAAAAAAATCAGTGGAAAAAATATCCTCAGGTGAGGATTAACAAAAAAATAAAATAGACTGAGCAGGCAAGGTGGAAGTTCTACCCTCTTTATAATCTAGCATTGGAAGTCATCTTATTTTTCTTTTAGCACATTCTATAGGTTACAAGGGTCCAAGGGAAGGAGAATTATATTCTATGTCTAAAAAGGACAATTATAAGGTTTTAGAGGAGTACAAGGCATAGAATACATTGTTGCTGCCATCTTTAGAAAAACAATCTTCCGTAGCTGGTTTGGCTCAGTGGATAGAGCGTCAGCCTGTGGATTGAAGGGTCCCAGGTTTGATTCCGATCAAGGGCACATGCTCGGGTTGCCAGCTTGATCCCTAGTAGGGGTCGTGCAGGAGGCAGCCGATCAATGATTCTCTTTCATCATTGATGTTTCTATCTCTCCTCTTTCCCTTCCCCTCTGAAATCAATAAAAATATATTAAAAAACGAAAAACACAATCTGCTACAATTGATCAACCTGTGTATGCTACAAATTAAACTTGTTTCAGACTAAACTCCTTACTTTCCTCTCCTCCTAATAATCTGCTAGTCTCAATTTCTGTTTCTATCACTGATACAACAAATCTGAAACTGTTATCTCTGACTAGGGCAGAAAAAATCTGCGGTTAACTTTAAAAACCACTATTTAACAAAACATTGGAGAGACAGAAAATTAAATGAGAAGAGAAAAGCACCCTTCCTGAGGAGTATAAAAAAATATTTATTGATTCTATAGGTATTTATTGAGTGTCTACTGTGTGCTGGGACAATGCCAGCTG